CCTCAAGAAGTACATAACCTCAATGAGCAAAAATGCATATAGCTGCACACAGCTGCTAATAACAACAAAGCAGAATAGGACCAAACAGGAGGGAAGCTTAAGGGTAAGAGATTTTTATTATACTCTTTTGAAATCCTGCCCCACTTCCCCTCTGCACTTTGTTTGAATCAAAGACCCAGGCACAGAGGTGTTCCAAACAGATTCATTCATTTATTCAGCTTCTACAGTGGGCCAGGCATGGTGTCACATTCCAGAGACATCACAGTGAACAGGGCAGGCATGGCCTGGCTCTCATGGAACTTTCATTTAGTAGGGAAAATGGCATTAAGTAAAGCATTATACAAATTCCTCAAATATTACAATGGTTGTAAATGCTCCAAAGAAAAAGTTAAGTATCATTGTGCGATTCCTGAGGAGGGCTGACTTTGTCTAAGGTCCATGTTCAAGGTAGACTTTCCTTCAAATTTGTGCATTAAACCGAGATCTAAAGGATGAGTAAGAGTTAACTAGAAAGGGAAAGTACCACCAAGGGAAAACATTCTCATATGTGTAGAACACCTTTCCACAGGTTTACGGTGGATGGAGTTAGCTAGGGGCCACAAGCATGGGGTGGGGTTGAAGTCCAACAGCAGCCAGTGTGGCTGGAACACAAAAGTAGGGGCAGTGAGCTAGAAAGGCTGGGCACCTAGAAAAGCTAGATGCCATATGTCTTGTGGATCACATTAAGGATTTTGATCTATATTTCAAATGTAACGGGAACCCAATAGAGAGTTTTATAAAAGGTAAGTGACACAGGAGATGTGCATTGTTTAAAAATCACTCTAGCTACAGAGTAGAGAATGGATTGAGATGATATAAGACAAAAAGCTGGAAAGATAGTCACAAAGTCGCTGCAGAAACCCAGAGGATAGAAGACAATAGCCAGAACAGGTAAAAACGGTGAAGATGGAGAACTCTGGATAGCCTGGGGTAGAGTTTGTCAGTGCCATCCACAAGACTTAGTGCTTGATGAGAGACAAGATGCCAAGAGAGTGCAGGGGGTCAGGAAAGGATGACACTGAGACTTTTGGCTTGTGAAACTCAGTAGGTGGTGGGATATTTGCTGAGATAGGATAGCCCAGAAAGAGAGCAGGAAGGGATGGAGACATCAGCTAAAGATTTATTGGTCCGAAGTTTTTAAATATGATGCTGACTTTGTCCATTTTCTGTTGCTATAATTGAATACCACAACCTGAATCACTTACATAAAATTGAGGCTTATTTAGCTCACTGCTCTGGGGGATAGGACATCCAAAAATGCTGCTCAGCATCTGGTGAGGGCACACCTGCTGGGTAATGGTATGGCACAAAGCAGCACATGGCAAGATAGAACAAGCTTGCCAGAGAGAACTCACTTTTACAATAAAGCCACTGAGACAACCCATGAATCCATTCATCTGTTTATTAGAACAAAGTCCTTATGACCCAACCACTTCCCAAAGGTCCTACCTCCAAACATCATTAGCCTATGACTCTGGCATTAAATTTCCAGCACATGAATTCTATTAGTGGGTGCTAACAGTGGATAATTAAATATATGAAAATGGAGCTCAGTGTTCTGGGATAGAAATACAAACTTGAGTCATCAGTGTATAGTCAAGGGACTCTCGATACGATCCCCTAGGAAGAAAGTGTGAGAAGAAATGAGGACCCCAAAGGAGAGAAAGCAACAAGAAAGACACAACAAACAGGACCTTGGGATGGCACTATAGCTGTGAGCTCCAGAGAGAGAAGAGGGTGGAATGGTACTGAATGCCACTGAGAGGCAATATACAGCAAACTGATCACATACTGAACATAACATGGCTGAGTTTTCTTCCTTCCAGCCTTCCTTTCTTCTTTTTATTTATTTATTTGTTTGTTTGTTTGTTTGGTAATGCTGAGAATCAAACCAAAAACCTCATACATACTAGGCAAGGGCTTTATCATGAAATATACCCCTCAAGCCACATGGCTAAGTTTTACATTCTTAAATTACCTCAAGTTTATACTCAGCATATCAGGATAGATGTCTACACTAAAATCTCCATCTGGATGAATGTTTCCCAGGTACCCTAAACAATGAAAAGCTCCCCAAGAAGGCCTTACCCAACCTGGGCCTGGACTGGCTCTAAAGTTCCCCCACCACACCAGACAGCCCAGGACACTAGAGCCAGGGCCTGTCTCCCAGTCTCTGGGTAGTGACCTTGGCTGCTCCAAGGGCTGCTGGGAGGTATAGAAATAGCCACATAGATAATAAGATCTGTGCCTTCCTGAACTGGCTCAGAACACTGGGTGTAGATTAAATTTTCATACCTCTACCACAGATTTCTTTTTTCCCCTTTATCTTTTTTTCCAGTTTCTTTTTGGTTATCATTCCTGTTTCAAAAGCATAGAGCAAAGAAGACACCAGCATATTGTGCATGTACCCTGGCTTGAGGTTTCAGGGCTGGGCTGAGCCATACCTGACACAGGGCAGCACCTAGGACACAGCAGGCAGGACCTCTAGGCCCCACCTGCTTCTCCCCTTTCTCCATCTTCTTGTTATTTCCTCCTCTCCAGTAGCCTTCCATCCTTCCTTTTGTCCTGTTAATCTCCTTCATATCTCAGCACTTTCCTTGATTGCTCTCATTTCTTTCTCTCTGCTGCCTTGTCACTTGCCTCCAAAGTTGAACACTTAAACATCTGGGTGTGCAGGCCCATACTTGAAATGTCTTTCCTTTCTCTCTCTTTCCTCCCTCACCGTATCTCCAGCCGGTTCTTATTTCCATTCTCAGAGAGGCACTATCAACAAGAGAGCATGGCTTTCTGGGAGGAGATATCCCTTACTCCGTGCTCTGAATGGCAAGTTCTGCCTCCCTCATCTCCCCCACACCCAGAGGGTTTAGGGTCCCTGGTCTCTCATTGTTCTACATCTTCGACTAAGAAAGGAGTAGAATTCACTCTGACCTTCACTGAGAAACTCAGTGCCAGGCTGAGGCCAGCATCTCTGTGCCAGTGTCCCTCCCCGTGGGGATCAGAAGGGCTCTGGATGGCCCTCTCCTCCGTTTCCTCTTCCCTGCAGCTGGGACATGGGGGCAGATCCAGCTGGAGGTTAAAACAGGGCAAGGTGTGTAGTAAGCACAGTTCTCTGTCAGTCCCAATTGTGACAGGTGACCCAATTTCATCTCAAGTGACTTGGCAGCAGCGCACTCTTATCAATAGAAAGTGGCATTCAAAACCTAATTACATGCAGTGTGAGGCCTGGCACTGTATTCTGTGGAGTGAGCCTGGGGCCCTGGTGCTGATATTGCTTAAAGAGGTTGCTCCAACCACACAATTTTCTCCCACTTTCCACTTTCTGGCTTCTCCCAAGGAAAGCATAGGTAACCCCAGTTCCCATCCCCCCTCAACTCTACAGCTGCCCCTTTTCTGAAACAACATGATCTCAAACCTGCTTGGAAGCAAGGTGCAAAGTTCTCTGTTACATTGAACTCAAAGTCTGATAGTGGGGTCTGAAAGCCCTAATCACCTTCCCTCCAAAAGGAAGGCTGAGAGAGAGAGGTAGGAAAGGGTCTCTGAAACCCCAGGCTCTGACAAAGAATGGGACCCCAGCCTGAGACAGTCACAGAGAAACTGCTGAAAGGGCACAGGCCCCAGAGGGTAATGGAACTTGAAGAGGGGACATTTGGGTCCCATTTGCGGAAGGAATAATGGACTTTCCTTTCAAATCTGGACAAGCTCAGCCAACACAAGAAGCTTGGCCTTTGTCTTCAACGCAAGGCTTGCAGAATGAAAAGACCCGGCCCTGGCTAGCTCTGTTAGCCATAGGAGGGCAGTAAGGACAAGGGCAATTTTCAAGCTTCATTTTTGCTCAGTGTCACCTGTCTTCTACCATGTCCATGCACCTGAGCTGCCTTAAGAGGCCCACAAAACACAAGGCTACAAACCTGATCTCCTCTTCCCCCTGATACCTAATGATGAACTAGAGAAATAATCAGAAAAGGGGGACAAGGCAGGCAAAAGCAAGAAGAGAAGGACAAGAAATTGACTCGTCTGATCATTCCTGGGCAATCAAGAAATTTTCAGTACAGAAGATCAAAGGTGAAAATTGTTTACTAGCACCTGAGCAGTCTTCATGTGTCCCAAGCCATCAAGGACTTTCATCAAAAAGACAGCCTTACTTTAACATTCTCTCTTCTGGGGGAAAAAAAATGTGAGCAAAGCCCTAGCTAGGCATAGTGGTGGTGGTAGGGGGTGCCAGTCTCTCTTAGAAATAGTAATTTACAAGGTTCATACACGCATGGCTCATAAAACTGTCCATTTTCACAGAGCTACTCTCCACAAAAAAGCACAAATTAAAATGTAATCCATAAACATCTCAACACTTTTCTGCTCCTCCTAAAGCCCCTTTAACACCACCCATTTTGAGATAATTTTAGCACAATAATAAAGAGTGCAAACTGAAAACAAATTGCCTTGATTTTCTCAACTATAAAATGGGGATATAATCATCCTACTCCAAGAACTATTGGGGAAATTCGGCGAGTTTAAGTCTGTGGTACACTTAGAATACTGTCTGGCACTTGCTAAGTGCTATGTAAGTATTTGCTACTATTCCTCTCTGACCTTCCACCACAATAATTATCCCCAGTGATATAAGTAACAAGTCTTCCAATTCTGAAGGCCAGTAGCTTTTCCTTCCTGGTTTTAATGGACACTCACTTCTGATTTTTTCAGATTCAAGCTCTACCTACAGGTGTTTCAGGCCTGCTTGTAATACCAGCTCTGATCCTGAGTGAAGGCCTCATGAGATTTCCCCTGAAAATTCTGTACCTCGCATTCGCCCCACTAAAGAACTAGCAGTTTTTTCCCTGAATAAATATGGATCATGAGGATCTTCAAAGAGTAGCTGCTTTTCTGGTTAATGTGACCTCAACGGTCCCCTTTGTGACTTCATCTAAGCCCAAACCTGGGGTGGTCGGTTTGCCTAGTAATTCACAGAACACCCTGGTGGATGTCTCATCTCTGCTGATACTAGCTGGCTTCTCAAATGGGAATGATATTCTGAGAGCAGACAACAGGCCCCTAATGCCATCTGGACATTTCACAAATTTACCCCAAAGGTCACCAGAGGGCTTGGTACAAAGGTCAGGTGAGTGGTAATAACTGTAACAGATACAGGGCATTGTCCAGCTCCATCCAATCCACGAATTCATGTTCTGTCATTAATTCAGCTAAAATTTATTAAATATGTCTTGTGCAAGATATTGATCTGACCATCAACTATTTGCAGCAGTATATAACACAAAAGTTCTCCCCTCCTGTGGCTTATATTCCAAAGGAACAGCTTAGCTCTCAGGCAAAAAAAAGGATAAAAAATATACTGCCATAGATGGTGGCAATTTTTCTGGAGAGAAATAAAGCAGAAAGGAAGCTAGAGAGTACTAGGAAGGAAGAGATTTGATTTTAATAGGGTATGATAAGGAAAGGACTGAGTAAAGAGCTGGGCAGGGCAAAGAGTGAGCCCACCCTGATAACTGGGGAAGATAACTGAGGAGGAGCAGTGCTCCAAGGCAGGAGTGTGCTTCACAAGTCTGCAGCAAAAAGGACACTGTGGCTGGAAAAGATTATAGAAACAGGCAAAGCCAGATATGATAGAATACAGTTATAATCCCACTAGTCAGGGAGGTCAAGACAGGAAGATCATGCACTCAAGCCCAGCCTGGGCAACATAAAGTGAGCACCCATCTCAAAATGTAAAGAGAACAGGAGATGTGGATCGCGCTACGATCCTGAGTTCAATCCCTAGTACCACAAAGGAATGAAGAGCGGGAAAGAGGGAATGGAAGGAAGGGGAGCAGAGGCGGGAGATGAAAGCCAGCAGATCTTGTAGAGCCCTATGCACCTTTGAAAGAGTTTTGGCTTTACCCAGTAAGACAGCAATCACCACCAGAGGATTCTGCACAGAAAAGTAATACGGTTTGATTCATATTTACCACAGTCTTGGGGCCAGGGATTTAGCTCAGTAGTGCTGCCATCTGCCTGGCAAGCACAAGGTTCTGAGTTTGATCCCCAGTACCAAAAAGAAAAAGAAAGAAAAAAGACTAAGGTATATTTACCAAGGTCTTAAGGCTGTCTAAAGTGGGGTACAAAAAAGAAGGCACTACACTGATTCAGGAAAGAACTAGTGCAAGCTTGGACCAAAGTACAGCACTACAGGTCAGGACTGAGAGCCGGATTCTGGATAAATATTGAATGGAGAGCCGAGAGAAATTCTTGATGAATTCATTAAATGGGCATGAGACAGAGAAGTCCAGAATGGCTTCAAAACCATTTTCAAAAAAGCTACAGTGTCTAACACTGGTATATCAGGTATGAATGGTGATGTACAGATGCCTGATGTCATAGATGCAAATAAAGAGAGGACCAGGTAGGAAGAGTCAGTGACTCTGAAAGCAATGAAAGAATTATGAAGTGGGGCCATGTGTTTGAAAAGGAAGCATTCCAGCACTCAGCCTGGTGTCTAGCACATAGAAGGCTCTCAATAAATGTTTCGTGAATGAAAATAAGTACAGCTACAAAAATAAAAATCAAGTTTTAAAAATATAAGCTTGGAGGAAAATATAATTTTACAGGCAAGGAAGGCAGATTTTTGACTTGGTCATCTCCCTTCACACCAAATCTCTCTGCCCTGTACCTGCAGCTAGTTCACTGGTGGCAATATCTTTCACAACAAAGCAGTCCTGGTCACGTTTTTTAAAAAACTGGTCCTAGAGCATGTTATTATCCTGATAACTTCCTAAGAGGTGCAGTGATATTAAATTTGGGTTTAATTCCTGAAGAAATAATATCAAGAGAAAAATCCCTAAGGGCTCAGAAATAGTTCTCCAGAGAGCGGGGAATTTAGTGCGTGGCACTGTGGCTGCCCACAAGTGCAAGGTCCTGAGTTCCATCCCAGTACCAGAAAAAAAAAGAAAGAAATTAAACCTTTCTTTAGAGCTCAGTCATTGGTCCTCTTCTGCATCTGTGCCTTCTCTCTGAAGGGATGGCAGCCAATTCCATGATTCAAAATGCCATTAATAAATTGATGAGCCTTGAATGTTTATCTGCTGCCTTGATTCAGCTCCAGGCTTACATATCCATCCACTCATTCATCATGACATCTCTACCTTGGATATCTGATAGATAGCAATGAGCATCTCCAGCTTAACTTGTCCCCAAATGAACTCGTGACCTTACGCAGCCACCCTGCCCCTTCTCTCGGTTCCCCTATCTCACTAAATGTCACCATGGCTACTACATCAAGTAGCTAAAGAGCCACTGATTTCTCTCTCCTTTTGCAACTCACATTCAGCTCATGAGAAAGTCCTGCCAGCTCCACCTTCCAGATACAACTCACTGCACCCACTGCTCAGCATAACCAGCACGCCCATCCCACACTTCACCACCACTGCCTGCTATCTCCTTCCACTTTTTCTTTGGTGTGGCCAGTTCTCCACGTAGCAAGCAAAGTAATTTTTCAACATATAACAGATTTTATAACTCATCTTCTCAAAGCTTTCTCATCACACTCATGGCAAAATCCAAACTCTTAACCACGGTCCATGAGGCCCAGCATAATCTAAGCCCAAGTCAGCAATCAGTGTCCCTCTCCTTCTCTCTCTCCCTCTCTCCCCTTCTCCCTCTTTCTCTCTCTCTCTCTCCTTGACTCTTGGATGCTCCAGCCTCCCTGGCCTTCTTGCTATTTCCTGACCAGCCATGTAACCATTCTGGGTCACAGCACTTCTGAAACATCCCCACTCCACATTTCCCTGGACCTATCTCCCACTTCCTGCTCAAATGTCACCTCCTTCCCAGACCACCCTCTCGGAACCTTAATATTAGCTGCCAACTTCCAAATACTTGGTCTCTTACCTGTCTTTGTCTTTATATGACTTATTACTGCTTGATATTACTTACTTTTTTAATTGTTTAATATGAGGATACATATTAGGAATGCCAGAAGAGTTGGGAAATAGCTTAAATTCCTAGTTGAGCCATAGCAGATTCCCAGCTAATCACTGCTGAATAAAAAATGTGATTGCAAAATGCCAGTAAATATGCTCCATTTAACACAGGCTTTATGTTCTCACAGTGCATGAGAAAGCTCCTTGTTGGGCAGGGGATTTAGCTCAATGGTTGTGCCTCCTGCTTTGCAAGCACAAGGACCTGAGTTCGATTCCCAGTACACACACACACACACACACATACACACACACACACACAAACCTCCTTGTTAATAATTTTATCAGGTATCACTCATTAATTTGTTACTCTACCTATCCAATAATTACTAGATGGTTACTGAGCATCTACTATGTGCTAGATATTCTGCAAGCTTCTGATGATAGTCATGAAGCATAGACATCTCTTCCTCAATGATGTCTATGTCCCCTACACATCTTTTTTTTTTGGTACCAGTGATCAAACTTGGAACACTGCACTAGCAAGGCAGGCAGTGGAACCACTGAGCTAAATCCCCAGCCCTATACATCTCTTTTTAGGGCACGTAACAGAGCAGAGACTTAAATAATCACACAGACACACACACAAGCCTATACATGTTATGATGAAAAAGATCAGAATATGATAAGGTGTTATTGCAAGGGTCCCACTTGAGATTGAGGATCAGCAAAGAGTATTCTAAGGAAGTAAAAATTAACCTGAAACTTGATGGATTAGTAGGAACTGGCAAGATAAAGAATGTGAGCGATCGATAGGATCTCAGGCCAGAAGTGGGAGACCACAAAAGTGAAGAGGTCATGGTAGAAGGTGCAGAGAAAATGAGGGGTAAACATGTAATAAAAGAGAAAGCAAGGCAGGGCACAGATGCCCAAGGCTTTGTGGGCTGCCCTGAAAGATCACAAAAGCATGTAGGAGATGAACTCAGGCTCATTGGTCCAATCCCTCATCTGAGCACTGCAAGGACCTGAACAAGGTCAGGATACAAGGAAAATACAGAAGAACCATTGGTAACTTCAAATAGTGAAACCATTTTCCTGATGGAAGAAACTTATTCATGTTTCCTGTCTTTCATCTCTCTTCTTGGCATGACCTAATATTCATAGAGATCCCAACAAAATGTGTTTTTTCTCGAGAGGGGAGACGTAACACAATAAGACAGGTATGTAGTGTGATTAAAAAATATAGTTAATGCTGCTGCTGCATGCCACAGCAGAGATCCTCAATACGTGAAGCCATATGTCAAACCTTAGCAAAGTGTGTGACAGGTTCAACTTGTTCATTGCAGTTGGTCAGACATGAGCTATGGCTGACAGAAGGTATGTTCAAAACCGTGCTGTAAATCACGGATCATGAAAATGAATTAACTGAACTTCTGTCAGTGTCATTGAAGTTTCACAGTTGTGTCCCTTCTGATTCCAACTTTTTAAGAAATGTCACCACAGAAGATGGAACTTGGGTCTATGACTATGATCTTGAGTCCAAGAGTTCTCAGTGGAAATCAACCTGTTATCTTCATAAGAAAAACAAGCACATCAATCAAGATCCAATATCCAGGTGATGCCAACCATGTTTTTTGAGCTTGGTGGAATTATGCAAGCTGAGTTTGTGCCCAGGAATACTACAGCCAGCTCTGAAAATCATAAGGGCGTATCGAGAAATGAAATTCTTATCATATAAAAGCATTACGGCATGTTTTCATCTACCTTATTCCCTGGACTTCCAGCTCTTTCCCCGAAGTCAGAAAACTATGAAAGGTACACATTTTGAATCAATTCAGGACATAGAGGAACTCACAAAAAAGGACTTCCAGAACTGCTTTAGAAAGTATCAAGAAAGGAGTGTGTTCAAAATGAGGAGGAGGATTATGACGAGGATTAATGGAAATGTGTCTTTTACAGAATACATTTTAATTTTCAAAGTAGTCACCGTCATCTTTGATCACATCACACCTAGAGACACATAGGCAAGAGGAAAACCTTCCCTTCCCGATGGCAGAGACATTAGTGGCAAGGGAAGTCATAAGACAGGGGGTGACTCTGGCAAAATATTCCCTTTCTCCTCTCAAACCAGCCTCCTCTCGCTACTAAATTGACCCTGACTACAAAAGCCACTGAGGGTTAAGTCCCATGGAGTCATAAGTTCTTCTGGGCGTAAGGTGGGTTTCATAAAAGAGATTGGTTACCAGAACAGTAGAGGATATGCAAGCTCTTCTAAATTAGAACAGGAATTTAATTAAACCAGGAGAGGAATGAAAGATAGAGAGATGATTAAGGCCCCAGGATATTTCCTTCCTTTGGAGGGGAAGGGAGGAGGCAGAGCAGAGTTAACATTCACCCCACTCACAATCTGCCCCATCCTCTCTATCCCTCAGCCCCACCCTCTCACACCCCTACTTAAGACTCTTCCTGAGTATCTTCCTACCTCCCTCTTTGGCCACCCGGGCCCCTACCCCAAAAGACTCTTGTGCAAAGCTCTCCCTCAGGACATATGTGCTGCTGACTCATTCTCCCTGCTTGTAACAAAGCTGGAAACTTTTAATTCTCTAGTTATTATCTGTTCTCGCTCTTTTGACTTCATCTTGCATCACATTATGAATTATGAACAGTTACTTCTGGTACTCAAGAAAGACCCTTCATCAAATCTGTACAAAAGAGAATTCATGGGTGATTTGGATCAAGTGAGAATCTCTTGAAACGACAAAGAGCTGTCGGGGCCTGCAGGGATTTGAGCTTAAATACGCACGTACACATAGATGTGGGGGTAGGGATCACTCTACCCCCATGGGTAGGGAGAGTTGACCCCTGAAACTTCGTTTGGATAGAGAAGAGACCTTAGGGCTTTCTTCCTTCCTTGTCTGCCCTCTGTTGGACTGCACAAGGCCAGGGAGCATAGGAGAGGCCTGTGACCGTGATGAGCAGGAAAAGACGTGGGGAGTCACCACAGTGCAGCTTCTGGGTCATCTGCCGGACTAGGCATGCCTTGGGATTTTTTAATTTATAAATTGCAAACTAACAAGATGCATCCACAGGAAGCTGCTTCCCAAATGTATAAAAGAGAATCTTCAAGACCCTCCTGCAAAGTACTTCTCATCTGCAAGCCACAGCACGCCTATGCCTCATACTACTAAAAGGACAAAAGGTACACTGGGTTCCCTTGTCCCCTTTCTCTGAATCTCCTCAGACCCATCTCCCATTTTTCTTCCTCCTCACCACCCACTCTTCCACTTGCTAAAGGCACCCAAGATGAGATCCAGCTTAAATAACCTACTTTGCAGTTTACTTAGCTCTAAATGGAAGTCGTTAAGACAAACGCCATAAATAACCTGGGTACAAAAGAGAGGCATGCACCCTTTCTCACACTGTCACACACAGGCACACAGATGGGCAACCTCACACAGGCATGGCAAACTTGCAGTTACAGTTGTGAGGAGTAGTGAACACGGCAGGCAAGGGTCATATCCTCAGGTAGACTGAGGTCCTAGAGGGTAGGTCAAGACTGCGGGCACAAAGCCATGGAATTCATAATGCAAAGGGCCACAGACACCATCCTCTTTGAGGAGCCTTGTGCTGATGACTTGGCTGGCCACAAGTGCCTCTGCTCTCTTCTCTAACTTGGGCCAGTGCATGTTCTCCAAAAGACCGTCGTATTACTCCAGTGTCATCTGCCCAGGAAAAGGAACCCACTGCCAAGAAAAGAGCAGGAAACTTGGGGAAGCAAGGCTAGTGGAGAGCCAGAGGCCTGACTGGGAGCTGCTGACAGATGACTGTTGTGCAGACTGGCTAACTCTTGCCAGTCCCACCTGGTGGGGGACAGGTGCTGCTAGGAACAGGAATATGTGCAAGAAGGAAGTGTGATCACCTGATTGTGCAAGTGCTTGCTGTCCTTCGGGCCCTGCCTTTTCTTCCAAACTGTTGAGGTCTGAGGGGTATCTGTGAGGGATGCCCTCAAAAGCAAGTAGGTCACACACCTTAATCACTCAGTAAGGACGGAGTCCCTGGAAAAGGACTCAAGCTCTCACCCTCCCTTTTCTTCTCTGTTTCATCTAAAAATCTGCTGATTTATACAAACTGCTCTGGCAGGAGTGGCTTTATTTTATTTCATCATGGAAACAGTTGAAAAAGGTCATGGCACTGTGATGTTTTCTTCACAAAGGAAAGAGAAAAATCCCAATAATATTTCCTTTCTTCCAAGGATCCCATTGACCATATCTGTCAAAACATATTTGAAGATGATAGGTAAAATTCTGTATTGTAAATCTCAATAATAGAAATCCTCCTGATATAACTGCTCATAACCTTAAGGTATTTTAGTAATGTCTTAAAATCATAAAGCATTATCATGGTGCATAAAGCACTCTTACACACATATTCTTATTTATTTCTTACATCCCCAGTATGAACTACATACTGAACTGGTATTTCAAATTAACAGAAAAGGAAAATGAGCCTCATGAGGCCATGTGACTTGCCCAAAATCATTGCAGAGGTAGGGGGAATGGACTAGAAACAAAACCTGGGGTTAGAACCACAACCTTTGAGTGTAATTCACTGTCCAATGAACACTGTACTCTTTATTGCACTGATTGGTTTTCTAAGACACTCACTTAGTAACAAGTCATATAAATGACTACCAGTTCCTCTGAAAATTAATGTAAAAGTGTCAGTGTAACTACAACAGAAAACTCAGGCTTCAAGCTACTTTATTTATATTAACATAATTATATTAATAGATTATATTGATCTGTCATAAAGATGAAATCTATATTACATAGATTTATTTTTGTCTTTCAAACATCACAGAATTTTCATGAAACAAAAGCAAAAGAATTTGGTTTTACAAAGGTGTTGTTACCTTTTTATTTCGCCAAAAAAGGACATTAACATTTTAAATTTTAAAATTCAATTTCAAGTTGAACAAATTTAATCTTATGAAAAATCATAGTGTCATTATTTTCTCATTATGCCAGACTGATAAAGACTTCATCACAGGCTCAGCCACTTCAGGAACACATGCAGGTCTGCCTCAGCACCTCCATAGGGTAACAGGTCCTAAAGTAGGCTGGCTGCATCAGTATCTCATCAGTTATTCAGAAGTTATGCAAATTATCAAGAACTGGTAGGAGGACTTGAGGTGCATTTGGAAGGAATTTTTGCACCAAACATGGGTATTTTTTCAATACAAAGACAATATAAACAACTACATATTTAATCAGGAACCCATGGTGGGAGAGTACTCAGTATAGATAATAGAAACCTAGCAAAGACATACCAAAACACATGCTGTCAGAATTCGCCTTACATGCCCCGGAAGCTGCCATACAGGCTCAGCCACTTCAGGAACACATGCAGGTCTGCCTCAGCACCTCCATAGGGTAACAGGTCCTAAAGTAGGCTGGCTGCATCAGTATCTCATCAGTTATTCAGAAGTTATGCAAATTATCAAGAACTGGTAGGAGGACTTGAGGTGCATTTGGAAGGAATTTTTGCACCAAACATGGGTATTTTTTCAATACAAAGACAATATAAACAACTACATATATAATCAGGAACCCATGGTGGGAGAGTACTCAGTATAGATAATAGAAACCTAGCAAAGACATACCAAAACACATGCTGTCAGAATTCGCCTTACATGCCCCGGAAGCTGCCAGACACCCTCTCTGAATAAGCAAAAAAAAAAAAAAACAAAAAACCTGCTCACTTAGCAAAACTCAATTTGTAAGTGCGCAGCTCATACAGCAATAAAAAGCCATAAGAAGAATATTCACATAGTGAGAGAGGAATGTGTTTTTCAAAGCACGTTCATATGGTTTATCTGAAATAGTTGCTACAAGACTCCTTTTAGGTAGAACACCACCAGTTTTATCTTCATATTACTGGTGAAAATGCTAACACGCCTTTATTTATTCATTTATTCAATACCCAAAGAGAGGCCTGCAATCGTGAGGCTCTTGGCTGGAGTGCACCCAGCTGCTGTGAACTTGGGTAAAAATTGGACCTTATAAAAGGTCCAAGTCAACAGAAGATTCACCAACAGAGACTCAAGAAAAAAAGTGTGTGAGAGAGGGAGAAAGAGAGAGAGAGAGACAGAGAGAGAGAGAGAGAGAACAAAAGGGAATCTTCAGTTTAGGGGCTCTTCATGTGTCATCATGACCAAAGAGAGGGCACACTTTTTGTTCCTTCTGTGCCAAAGACCTAAGCATCTCTCTGACTGCTTAAGCATGGTTCTCTTTAACAGTATTACAGAGCCAGGGTCCAAGCCAAGTAGGCCAACTATGTCACAGAAATAGACTGCCAATTATATGCACATCCTCTGTAAGCAATGAAATAAATTACCTTTCCCCTGCTTTCACTGGCCTTACCTTTCTGCCACAGGAGGAAGTTGCTGAGCTGGTATGAAGTGGAAAAGCCAGGACTGCAGTGGTGGTGGTGACTGCCCCCTATCAAGCTGCATGGCTCTCTCTATAGCAGCTCACCCATCTGGAAACAACCCTGGCTGCCTGGGCAGTCTGGAAGACAGGGCACCTTTGGAGGCTCACAGAGCTACTTTGAAATCAATCATCAGAGGGCACTTTTACTGAACATTTACCCAGCTGAGAGGACCCTGGAAAACAGAGCAACACTTAGATGGGAAAAGGGACAAAGACAACTAATAAGCAGAACCTAGCAGAAGTGTCAGATGCATACCACTGACCTTTGCTTCTGAAGGAGAGCTCAAGGGATCTGCTCTCATCTGACCTTGTGACACGGAGCCAAACAAGGCTCCATGGAGGAGGAAGCATCCAAACTTTGCATTGAAAACTGAACTTAGATAACGCAAAGACCATGGATTTAAGGTAGGCAAAGACACAAACAAAAGGCACAAAGTGGCAAGACTGAGAAATGGGAAGGGAACAGCCTAGAGGATCAGGAGAATTGTATGGTTGGCGGTGGAAGAAGATGCTTTACTCATCTATTATAGTTGAGTGGCTTTATTTAAATGTTCAAAAAAATGTTCGATAATATTTTACACCCCGGTACTGTATGTCAGGTACATGGGAAGGACTTTGTTCACATTACCTCACTTAATTCTCACTGCAACTCTATCAAGTTGATACCATAATACACATAAGGAAACAGAAGCAGTTAAATAAATTGCTTGAAGCCAGACGCGCATGCCTGTAATCCCAGCACTCTGGGAGGCTGAGGCAGGAGGATCGCTGTTAGTTTGAGACCAGCCTGGGCTACATAGTGGTTCCAGGTCAGTCTCAACTACATAGTGAGACCCTGTCTCAAAAAATCAAAAAGGAAAAAAAATTTCCTGACTCTCATAGATACTAATGGTGAGACCAAGATTTCATTTTTTTTCAAACAAGTTCATCATCAGAATGTTAATGCATACATCATACAACAGGGGTCATCTTTTGGCATAAATATATTTTATATATTTAATATAAATGTATTCATATTGCAGGATGTTTAATATCACTTAACTGAGGCTGCTTTTAAGAAGATAATATGAAGCCATGGTTATCGATGACTACTGCTGTATTGAATCAGTGTTGGCATTCGGTTTATTTCTGTATTTTACTTTATTTTCACAGTAATGAGAAAACCTTGAATCATTCAGAAGAATAATACCATGCTCACTTATATCACACTTTATCTAGGCGAAGAAGCTCAAGCCTGAATTTTTAAAAAAAGACTAACAGAATTACAAGCTTTTAAATCAATGACACATTTATTCAGAGTTCAAATGACTACAGAGATGGTGGGGGACAGGAGACCTTTACACTAAGGTCTCCACAAAAATTACATTTAGCCAGTTGATCACAGGTGGTCTCCAAGCATGAAAATTTTGTCTATCCCTGCTGACAATGTGTGGCTTTTAAAATTATTTTCTCCCTTAATTTTACATTTCTTTAATTCTATTGTATCTTTCCTCATAGTTGAAGACTTTGGAACTCAGAATACATGCATACACATCATATAGAACGTAGTGGGGTATTCCTTCTACAAAGCTAGTATCAAAGTCTTGCTATTGTCTAATTTTGAATTCAAGGATTATACAACTTAGCAAAAATTTAATACTAGCATTGTAGGAAAGTGTGATGGTTAAAAGATATGCTTTTGGGCCCAGGATTTAGCTTAGCAGTTCCACCACCTGCCTCACAAGGTCCCAAGTTCAATCCCAGGTACAAAAAAAAAAGACATGCTTTTGTCAAAAAATTTTTTTGAAATAAATTTGATGGATGCTACCAAAGATTATTCAGGATCTTGGCTGGAAAGTCTCTGAGCTAAGGGAAGGCCTAGCAACGGTGAGTGGGGAAAGGGAGAAGAGGGGATCAGGGCTGGAAGTGCTGGAAAGTAGAAATGTAGTGGTCCACTCTGACCTTTAGAAGGTGCTGTGACTGGGTTATACCCCACAAGGGAAGGAAGGGCCCTACCTAGCCCTGCTTCAGACTGAGCTGCACAGGGAGAGGGAAATAAGGAGTAGCTGAAGGAAGGCGTCCTGCATCCTCAGGGGCTGGTCTCAGCACTACAGTTTATTTTCTTTTAGGGCTGTGATTTTCTATAATACCCAATATATTCCTATGCAGATGACGAACAAAAACTACACTCACCAATCTTGTTCATAAAATCCTTTCCTTGTGATTAATTTCACTGCTTTGCCTCCTCTGGGTTATAAAGAAAACCCATCTATCTCCTCTTGTGGCCAGGCAACAGGCAACAAAAGGCTAAAGCAAGCGGCAAGAGGTGGTGAAGAGGGGGTTCTCCAGAGTCCTTTTAAAAGAGCTCTCCAGAAGTAAAGTTGGGCTGCTAGTACCAAGCACCTGGGAGGGATGAGGCTCCTGTTCTTCCACTTTTGGGGACAGACCGAAGTGTAGGGGAAGGCATCAGGGTAGCTCAAAGGAAGCATCAGGTGCAAGTTCCACCCCTAGAAAAACGTAGCATCTAACTGTAAGCTGTAAAACTTGAGGAAGGCCAGAATAGGTCACTTCTGCATATTATTTTCAATAGATGTAAAACAAGAAAGGGTCATGAAGAAAGTAGTTTAGGAGGTTCATTCTCCCAGTCCTTTCCCCCATTGACCTTTTAAAGTCAGTTTCTGAGCCTTGTCCCTTAAAAAAGTAAAAAATGGCTGAGCATGGAGGTACGTACATATAATTGAAGCACTCTGGAAGCCTGAGCTAAGAAGACAGCAAGTTCAAGTCCAACCTGGGTAACTTAGCAACTTAGGAAGATTCTGTCTCTAAATAAATAGATAAATAAATAAAATAAAAAGACTAGGAACAACCTCAGTGCAAAGGACCTGGGTTCAATCCCCAGTACCACACACACGCAAATTCACACATACAAAGTAAAAATGTAAAATAGCATCTCAGCATCCACTAGGCAAATTATACCCCCTCCCACTGAGTGTCAAGAGTTCTGATGTCTTTGTCCAACAGCTTGTCCAGCAGGCAGTAATTCAGTGACACCTACTAACCTTGAGCCCCCGGCCCTCACTTTACACAGGGACAGAGCGTGTGTATAAGCTGTCTGGATATTCACTTTTAATACCACTCCCTCCTTGGTCCCCCCAGAGATCCCTGCACGTACAGCCATTCACTATCTTCAATTGGCCCTGTGGCTTATAAAAATATAGGTATAACAAATGCACATGGCTTGTCACCCTTCTAGACTCAGTTCTGCAAATTAACTACTTCCTGAGAGCCCACTGGGTGTCAATCACTGCGTGGTAGACAAATAATGAATAAACCATGAACTCGTGGAAATCCATCCTGTGGGACGCCCAGATTAGGCAGAGTGTGCTTTCTCTTCATCTCTCTCCCACTTCCGGGGCCACCTCACCCTCCCAACATGAGCAATTACAGCCCTGTGGAACTGCAACTCTCAAGCTTCAGAACCATGAGGGAGTCTATTAAAAAATATCTTTTCTTTCATCCTACTCTGGAGACGCTGGTGCATTCGATCTGGAGCAGGGCCCAGGGATCTGCAGTTGTATTAATTGCTGACAGGTGATTCTAAAAGGGACTATTCTGAGGATATTGAAAGCAATTGCCCAATAAATCTTTTCCAGTAAATGATCAATTAGAGAAAATCTGAGATCTCTTGGCTTTCCCATTTTGCCAGAGACTGGCCCCATGCCATCCCAGCCTGGCTGGGATTCCGTAAGCATCCATGCTCCAAAGTGATCCAGTGAAAAGTAACTGAAACAGCTGTTGAGTCACGTCTACCTTCAGCCAGGGGACAGAACACCTAAGGCCTGGCATTGCCTCAGAAGAGAAAGCTCATAGCCTAAAGCAGAGTGACACAACAGGCATCTGAGGCAATTGGCTGTGGATTAGAAATTAAACTGTATATTAGTGTAGGCTAAAAGAAAGAAAGGAACCCTGGGCCACCCTAATGGCTCTATACAGACAAAAGACTGGGAGACTGGCCTGATGTGTAGTACAAAATTCAAGCACCAGATCAGGAAGTAAACTTAGCATATTTGGAAAAAATCCCAAACATGATGGCATCTTTGGTTGGATAAATTATTAAGAAACTAAGATAGATACAGAATAGGAATAATTTCATTGTGGAGACAGCCACAGATGGGAACATAATGAGTGTGAAAAAGAAAGAAAACTCCAGTTTCTTCCCACGGAGGAAGCCAGGGAATGGTGCAGACCATGAGTTCCCAGCCAGGTTGCAAAGTTCAGGAAGAAGGCTCTGTAGGGCTCCCAGAGAGGGAGGGTAATTAACATGGAGAGCAGGGTGCCAGGCAGTAGCAGATGCTGCAAATATAAATGCATTTTTAAGAAGAGTAAGACAGATTCTCTGGGGGGGAAACCAAGATTTGAAAGTACAATGCTAGTGAAGGAGGTGGGTGGGTCTGGGGGGTTGAAATGTTCCAAAAGGCAGCATTTGGAACTGAGCTGAAGAAAGGCCAGATGCTCAGGAGTGAAGTACTCAAGGGCTCAGGAGGTATGCTGATGGCCGAAGTCACAGCCTACTCTGCACATGTGCAATGCGCACACACATATACACATGCACATTCACACACATTCTCTGTACACGTTCCTTCCACTGTGGGCAGTGAGGACATTCAATTAAAAACCAGAGTATCTGATTTCCTTGCTACTTCTACGCAACAAGATATATTTCTCAGCCTGCTCTGTTGACTGAATTTGTTCAGGAGATTCAAGAATCACATTTCAAAAAGGATCTATAAACCATGCAGTCTTTTCCCTACGTATCGCTCCTTATATAGCCCAAATTTCATTGCCATGCTACAGGCACCTCCCCTGGCACCCTCTCATGCACTGCCTTCCCATGTAAGCCAACACTCCACTGCCTTTCCACCTGGGGAGTGGCTGGCTAAGGCCAGAGGAAAGCACCCTATGTGGATAGGCCTCACCTGAACTCATCGCAGCTGATGGGCAGTGGGTTCCTGATGTGACTCAGAACTCAGACACTTTTCCCTATTCCATTTACTCCCTTAGTTACTAGAAAACCATTTTATACCATCTCAAATTTCCAACATTTTCTTCCTCTCACCCTCAGCAGTTGACCTTACTTCCTATTTCATTAAGAAACTCAAAACAATTGGAAGAGAATTTCTACAAGCTTCCAACACTAGATCTACCCACATTCAGCCTCTGCAACCATTTCCCTCCTAGCACTGATGAAAGATCAGGGCTTCTGCGGGAGCAAAGCTGGTGATCTAGAAACACACACACACACACACACACACACACACACACCCCTACCTCCTCAAAAGATGTGGCTCTATCAATTTTCCTCCCTATCATTCATAAGCATTTTTTTATCTAATCATTTCCATTGCCATATGAACAGTATTCCACTTGCCCTATGTTCCTTGCTTCCCTTCCAAACAAAACTCAACACTTGAGTCAGTACAATACTTGCTATTTCCAACTCTCTCTTAAGCTTTCTTTGGTGATGA